AATCATCGACTTCCTGCTCAAGCTATCATACACATAGAGGTATCTTTTAAACGATTTTATTATGATACGCACAACGCGATTCTTTACGTATTACTTATTGCTGATTCTAAATAAATGATATTATAATAAGCATTTTAAAGTGATTAGATAGTTTTATTTGGTAGTTTCAAACACCAAATAGCTATTACCAAATAGTTTTAAATATTCTATTAATTGCGTATTTTTCTATTTAGTCTCACGAGTTATCATTGCGATTTACTGACTTATAATAATAAATAATCAGTGCGGTAATTACAAACTGACGATTTAGCTCTAGTTAAGATGACGCAATTACGACAATGGGATATAATGTATAAGACACAATCGATAGATGAAGATAACACTCAATTATACACCTTCTTAAAAAACGTAAGAAGTTAATTATATAACTATTCTTACTTTAAACAAAATAGCAAAACATATTATGAGATAACAAGCACAACTAACAATTGTCAGTAATTATTATTTATTAAATAACGCACCTCAAATTTGAGATACTTATAACAAACGACGTAACATATTTGTCTTTCTTTATTAGTTGCTCAATTAAAACGCAATATGTGATATTTATTAGACATTCTCTCACATAAATCGTGACTGTTGCATGACAAAACAAAGTAATCATGGCGAAAAATCTTTGATCCCGATACACATATAAACAAACTATGATTTCGCAACTGAGTCGTTATTTGGATTTCCTCGCGTTTCCGATGCAAGCTATAACTAGTCTTCCCGGTATATTACGTGCTCACCCAAAGCACTTGTTACAAGTTCTCACGCAGCTTTGACAGCAACTTCATGCGTGGTTCTTCCCCCGTGATAATGATCGACGACAGATCTTATGAAAGTGTGTATGTGTGTGTAAAGAAAACTTTTTTTAAGATTTATTACAAGTAAACGCGTAGTATAAGTAATTGTTTTTTACATAGAACATCAATTAAATATACAACATATTCAAAACAAACTTTTAGATTGTGATTGTTTATAAAAAAAAACTTAAAACAATACAATTCCAGTTTTGAAATTTTAATGTAGTTTACGAAAGAAACGTTATATTTTTTTTAATTTACTAAAAATGTTTTAAGTAAAATTTGCGTGTTATTGTTTGCCGACAACATTGTTAACTCCTATTAACTTTAATTAAAAAGTTTGAGTATGATTTTTTAAATTCAAAAGTCATATTCTTATCTATTGAATTTTTTAGTTTTTACAATATAAAAATGTCCAATATTTACAATTTTGAGAATTGAATTAGTTATCAATGAAGAAATGTGTCCCGAAAACACTTCTTTCTGGGAAAGTTTAGCACAATTTTGGCAAGAATAATTTCGGCAGATAAATGATGAATCAGTCAGTAATTTTCCGGCATATTTCAAATTGTGAAATTTTTTCATAAATAGCGCTCATAAAGTATAATTTAAAAAAAAAACATTCATGCAAATAAGAAAAAGACAGTTGGTTTCAGAAAATATTGTGAAATTTTTGATTGACAGAATTTCGTCAATTTAACAAAGTGATAGACATCCCGTTAATCATCTTTTGCCAAACGTAAATTGGATTCTACGTCGTCATGCATTTCTATCGATTTCAAGAAGCACTTGATTTTTATAGAGAAATAGTGGCAATGAATCATCCCAATATACTTCAAAAGTGATATATAACTTCTATCCATTCGTGACTAAATATTTGTATCATGCCAGCTGTGGAATTTTTATTATTGGCAATGTGACAAATTCTCATTCTCTTCCGATACAACGCAATCTCTTGCTCATTTTCAAAGCCAAACTTATTACTCACATCAATAATATGTGCCACCTCTTCAAAATCTATTAACAGATTTTCCAAGTAGATAAAACCGATTTTGAAAAGACTCTGATGTCATTTCTAATTTAAATTCTAGTACAGTAAATATAAGTACATATAGTTTTTATAAGTATTAAAAGTTACATATATATATATATATATATATATATATATATATATATGTGCGACAATTAAAATATATTAAACTAACTGTTTACTAAAAACAAAAAATACTATTGTGTTAATTTTTTCATAAAAAGTGACATCAGATGTAAGTAGGATTTTTAGCAGAAAAAGAGTTACAGCTATTACACACACATACACCCACGCAAAACAATTGTAGTTTTAGCCGGTAACGTACTTGTCGGCATCAGTTTAATCCAGTAAAGTATTTGAGTACGCATCATGGTATCTGGCAGCAAGATGATGCACATATATAACACATACGATAACGATATACTGTCTAAATAAATTTCAAAACTGTGTGTTGATGTAATTATATCCGTATCTTGTTTAAAAACAGACTGTTAAACCTTGGCTATATATTTCTTTCCAGTTCAAACTTATGTCAAATTAATGTGCTTCAGATACAAAAAAAACTGATTGACGATATTAAATAAACGGAAATCTATTATTTTCATCTCCGTTTAAATAAGAGATGAGAAGAAAACTTATATAATTTTCTTTTTCACGAAACTCGCATTTCTTTAGAAACATAAAATGTCGGCAAATGATCGCGCTTATTAGATAAAAATTTTTGTCAATTTTGTTCTTTTTGACGAACATGTCTTTCTCGTATCTATCGAGAAATAAAATTTTAAATCGAATTATTATCGACAGATAACAATAATGTGTCCTGAATTTTCTAAAATATTTTAACATTATTTTTGTTCTATGAAATTGTTATTTTGTTATTATTTTTGTTCTATGAAATTGTTATTTTGTTACGTATTAATTAATCTTGTTATATATTTTTGCAAATAATTATATATACATATATACATATAGTAAAGTAGAATTGGTTTTAATATATACACTTATTTTTGTGATAAGTTTAAAAACAATAAGTTACACACACATATATACACATACATATATACATATTAAATGAGGTACTTTTTTTACAACAATATATGCTTGAGTATTTATTGTTCTACATAAGTTACTAAGTATGAAACTTGACAAATAGATATATACATATATACATATATACATATACCTTGTTTTATAATGCTACAGATATACGTCAACTTCTGTTAAGCAAGATTATAGTTCACATTAATATATATATAATATTTACATCAATATAGTAAAATAACATTTATTATATTTATTTTAAACATTATTTACAAGCTTGTCAAGGCTGTGTAACCATTAGCAGTCAGCGAGTCCATTCTATACTGATAGTCATCATTGTATGAGACAGATTTATGTATGTCATACTTGTGGGACATTTTTTTTCGACAAGATATCTTATTTTTGTAATAAATGTGTTTTTTACATAAAAAAAAACATTACGAAATATTTTTTATTTAATCTAAAAAGCTTTATACAAACATTATTAATAATAACAATATTAACGTAATTAATTAATGTATATATATATATATATAATTATACATTTGTAACTTAAATTCTACAATATCTCTTATATATGTAATTTGTACTTGTCTAATTTTATATTTTTTCTTCAAATAATATTATTTTATTTATAAAAAATATCTATAGTTTTTTGTTTAATCTAACCAAGCATAATAATATGTACATATGCAAGTTAAATACTATTTTCTATAAATAATTATTCAAATTGACATGTTGCATTATTTAGCAATTAAAAATAGATATGTGAACTTAATCCGCTTTTAATGACAATGACCGCATTTAATGACTTGATGCGAGTGTCACGTTTACATTGCTTGTTTTGTTCTCAAAATAAAAGATGTGTGTACATCGTCTTTGAAAGAAGAGAAAAACCGATAAAAAAACAAGTACATTAATTGTGATAATAGAAAAAGAACAAACCTATTATTTCGCATCCAATTTTCCAGGTTTCTCGCTCAATGTGCATACGACATCGTAAATTTTATAGCAATATGTGCCTACTTGATGACAAATGATACTAAATACGACGTAAATATCGCGCAGATGTGTTAAATATTTACAATATAATGTGTAAGACTATAAGCACAAGACTGGTAATCATTGATCAGTCAAGCACTTATCTGCTTAACTGATTAAACACTTATTAATCAGAATAATTGAAGCTAATCGTAGATACTAGTATGTAATAATCGATGAATTCTTATCTTTTTTTTAGTGATATCGTACGTTTATATAATCGTAATAATAATAATCTACATTAATATTACTTGCAAGCGAACATGTGTTTTTGTTATTCGAAAGTTATTTAAAACTTTTTTATGTGTTAAATATAAGTTCAAAAATCTACTTTTGCTCCCGCACAAAAATATATTTCTAAAATATATTTTTCCATTACAAATTAAAGTATAATTAACATAAACCACATATGTATATTTTATAGAAATGTTATGATAAAATATATTTTTATATCGAAAGTACATGATATGTTATAGTAAAATCTCTAATAGTAAAAGAGTGAATATAGAATATACACATATATATGTATTATTGTGTGTGACTATAAACGGTATACTGTTAAAAGATAATTGAGATATTTTAATTGTGTGTGTGTGTGACAGATAAAAAAAAAAGAGAGAGATAGAGAAAATCTATATATTTTTCTACTTGCATTGATATGTATTTTTTCTTTTACATCTCGTGAATGCGGGAATTCGCAAAACTGATTTAGTAACACACTGACAGTAAAGGATTCGAGCGTGCGGAAAGACTGTTGCGTCATCTCGGTGGCGATTAATAGCAACAATAGCAAACAACAACTCGACAAAAGAGCCGACCGGATAATCTCTCCGTGGATCTACTTCCTCTAGCGACATAAATGTCGAAGTGACAGAGTTTTACCGGATACTGATATCTCCGCAAGGGGTCTTCACCGGCGTAGGAGGTGTACATACTTCTCGTCAACGTTATAAGTCAACGTCATCGGTCGCACATTGACAGTTTCACACCGTCTATATAATGTCGAAACCACTGAAAAAGGTGGTAGTCGCTCGCGGATTTCGATCGTATGATCATCTTTGCGCGATTCGCACGACTGCGATAATGACAACTGAATAGAAACTCAAAGAGTAATTTTACTGTAAACAATTTTTAAATCGTATTTTCTGAGAGCCGACGAAATTTGGATGAGCGGATTTCTAAATATGAGAGAGTTCGACTAATTAAAGTGTAACATATTAACACGCTTACATGTTAGAGTTTTCTTTCAAGTGACTCTAATGTGAATTTAAAGTGATGCACGTGTCAAGGTGAGTTGTAAATTCAATTTTTGACACAGTTATCAAGTTCAAATGCTCTTGCTGTTCCTTTTTAATTTTATGCGTTTCCAGCGGTTTTGCCTTTGCTTGAGTAAACTTTCTTGAACTTTGTTGTAAAAAGTTTTATCTGCGCTTTCTTCATGCACGCGTGCATAGCTTGGCGCATAAATATATATTCACATATACGCATGCGAAGTGTGTTTCTCTACATCACTCCGGCATATTAAGAGAGACGTCAAAGAATTTCGAAACGCGAGCGAACCACCGCGGTCATCTCTCGCGTCTTCTCATTTCTCGTCTCGCTCCGCATATCTATCCGCGGCATTCTGCGAAGCGCGATGAAAACCGCTCGTTTCTCTTGAAAGCCACATGTCTTTCGTTTTTTTCTTCTCTCTCCCTTTTTTTAAATACATGTTCTCGGCTACCGGGCTTATTCCGCAGTTTCTTCAACGGTGCTGTGTATGCACACAATCATATTTCTTAATATTAAAAAATATGTCATTATTATTTAGAAACAAAATTATATATAAAATCAAACTTTTTAGACAGAATAAATTTTATTGATAATACTAAATAATAATACTGAGAATGACGTGTCACAATTACGGTAATACAACATGGCAAGATACGCTATTTATTTGCACCCTCTCTTATATGAGTATCACGAGCGGACCTTTGCGCTCGTAATCAGCAATACGCGTGTCATGCGCGAACATGCCGGTGAAGGAAAGAGAAATTCGACGCATGCTTCTTTCCTTGATGTTCACACTCGGGGAGTTTCGATCCACGGGGTTCAAGTTTTTCGCGATACGCAGTGCTTCGCGTAACGTTTCAGCAACGTCGTGTACGTCGCGAGTGATTGTTGAAAATTTCATCCTTGCTCTTTCAACCGGACTTTGCGTTGTGAGTCTTGATCTAGTTTATTGTATTGTGATTCCAAATTATGTTATCAATTTTTATTCCCATACTTATAGTACTATTATATCAGCGGCGTTTTATGAACTACGATCAACAAGTGGATCAAGTTTCACTTTTTCAAGTGTATTTTTACTGCCGATTGTTTACATTGCTTTTATCTAATTTTATGTCGAGATATTTGTGCACAAATTATTTACTTTGAATGTTTTCTCTTGAAGACGTTTAATTGACAGTGTTTGAATTTGTTTATTTTTGCAAGGATTTATGTATACACGTTTTTAAAAATGAGTAAAATTTGGAAACGTTAATGAAAGACTAAAATAGAAGAGTAATATCTAAAGTTTGTTTAAATTTATTTCTATATTTTTATATACTATGCATATATTTCTTTTTCAGACAATCGTTTTTAGCTTAGTATTTGTACTAGATTTTATAAAATGATCATATCTACACGTATACATCTATAGTTATAATAAAACACGGTGAAAACATAATCGATAGTTGTGTAGATATTTTAAATTATTTAATCGTAGATTTTAAATTATTTAATCTTGATAACAATCTTTCTAAGCTTTATCCACTGAATATAATGTTGAATGGGATGCGTAGAATATTTATAACTTGCGAGTGGTTTTCATCATTTTTACGAGAACTCTCGATATAGTCTAGAATCTTAATATTCGATCATCTTTTATCTGGTATAAGGTCGAAGTATTCTTAATGAGAAAGTTTGTATGTAGATGTAAACATAAAGCTATAATTTTTTTTACCTGATATATAATTATCTGTTATTATAAAAATGTGAAATTATTGTTTTAACATATATTAAGAATATAAAATGGAGAAAGAGAGAAAGAGAGAAAAAATAAAAAAAGTTTTAATTTGTTTTTTGTTTGTCTTCTGCTAAAAGAAATAAAATCTGCGTTAAAAAACTTAAAAAAATTATGTTTCAGACAATTTATTATTAAAAAACATGTCACGCGCAACAATATATAATACATTGCGGTCGAAAATACGTTATCGTTTATCTTCTTTTAAATTGATCCAATCATGTGGATCTAATAATTTCAAGAAAGTATGCAGAAGTGACATTATTTTGATCGATTATCTGCTTGCCTGTCGCAAAAGCGAGATAAATCGATGGTCGTCTTATTTCGAGCCGAGTTAGTAAGGAGAACGACCGACAACGAAAGACATATTCATGTGTCACCCCGATGTCGTTTGTCGAGAAGGGTTGACAGGGAGAGAATAGCTGTCGAAAAGACGTTGATAGCAAAGGCCACAAGGACGCCAAAAACCGTTTTGCGAATTTATTTGTCTAGGCAACGCGCGCGTGCATTTGCAAACCGGAAGCGACGATAAATTGACGTAAATGAATCGTGCATTGCCATCGGCGGCTTAACTTGATATTACAGAGCATGTTTTTCATTTCGTTGACCCGTAATTATCCATTGTCATTTTGCATGTGCCGGTGCATCAAAACCTTTTGTGAGATTTTGCACGAAATGGAAACTATGTATCAATCGAGATATTTTTTCCTAGTTTAAGTATTGTATTAAATATCCCAAGAGCATTCTTGAAATAATTTGTCAGTAATCTCTAGAAATGGTTTTCTTCTTACGTTACTTTATGCCATATAGACGTGTGTGTGTGTGTGTGTGTGTGCGTGCGCGCGCGCGTGCGTGTGTGTGTGTGTGCGTAACATCAGCAAACATTGAAAGGTGCGTCTTGGATATATAGATCCCTTCAGAGAAACCTTCTTCTTTTATTAAATTACTCAGTTCAGACACAAGATAATAGTCGACCTCGCAAAAAGTATTGGCCACGTGCATCAAGAGGAACACATAATTTGCTCATATAATTATCGTAAAACTATAACTAATGTAAGTTATAGAAAAGTTAGAAAAGATATCGCTTAAATTGAAATATTACACATAATTCTCTAAACTTGCTATAAAACATTTCTACAAAATGTTCAACTTCTTAGAAGTTTTGGAGCTCGGTCAAATAATTTTTCAAAAATTTGTGTGTTACAAGTCATAGTTCATTTATGAATATCTAAGTAAAACAACATAACAAGACAAATTTCTATTAAAAAATAAATATTATGTTTGAAAGAAAATTGTGAATATATATGAATCTTGCTACACAATAATGAGCAATAATTAGGCTATTCTCATTCTATTTCGCTATTTGAGACACATGAATGTTTCTTAACGAATATCTCGTATGTGAAAAACAAGATTAGTCTTGAGTTTTGAGAAAAGTAGATCTTGCTGTGATAATGACGAATATCTCGAAATAAGATAAGCTGCAAAGTAAATAAATAATATCAAGCAAATTTCTGACATGATGAGAACATTTTGAAAGCACGCATACACACACACACACATACTTTCTCTCTTTCTCTCTCTCTTTCACAGTAATATATATA